ACTAAACGAAAAAAATATATTTCACTGATTTGTTTAGTATTAAAATTATTGAAAACAAATCTAAAATATTTTAGTTCGGTTAGGCAAAATAAATTTGTGCTTGTTATAATAATTACCTGGAGTTTACCTGGAGAAAATTCGGGGTCAAACGCCCCGCGGCCCGTCTGTGACCAGCCTCCTGTGGATCAGAAACCTATCAACAGGGTTTTGCTGTGGGTGCACGCAAACCAACGGACGAGCCACAGCCCGTGATCCGGAACTGACTTTTGGTGCTTGTCCAGTGCCAGCTTGAAGACGGGCCCGGGGTCTGTTGGTAATCCCCCTTATGTGTGCTGGGAGGCAGTTGAACAGTCTCGGGCCCCTGACACTTATTGTATGGTCTCTTAACGTGCTAGTGACACCCCTGCTTTTCATTGGGGCAATGGTGCATCGTCTGCCAAGTCTTTTGCTTTCGTAGTGAGTGATTTTCGTGTGCAAGTTCGGTACTAGTCCCTCTAGGATTTCCAGGTGTATATAATCATGTATCTCTCCCTCCTGCGTTCCAGGGAATACAGGTTTAGGAACCTCAAGCGCTCCCAATAATTGAGGTGTTTTTATCTCCGTTATGCGCGCCGTGAAAGTTCTCTGTACATTTTCTAGGTCGGCCAATTTCACCTGCCTTGAAAAGTGCTGTTAGTGTGCAGCAATATTCCAGCCTAGATAGAACAAGTGACCTGAAGAGTGTCATCATGGGCTTGGCATCCCTAGTTTTGAAGGTTCTCATTATCCATCCTGTCATTTTTCTAGCAGATGCGATTGATACAATGTTATGGTCCTTGAAGGTGAGATCCTCCGACATGATCACTCCCAGGTCTTTGACGTTGGTGTTTCGCTCTATTTTGTGGCCAGAATTTGTTTTGTACTCTGATGAAGATTTAATTTCCTCATGTTTACCATATCTGAGTAATTGAAATTTCTCATTGTTGAACTTCATATTGTTTTCTGCAGCCCACTGAAAGATTTGGTCAAGTCAAAGATTTGGTTGATGTCCGCCTGGAGCTTTGCAGTGTCTACAATGGAAGACACTGTCATGCAGATTCGGGTGTCATCTGCAAAGGAAGACACGGTGCTGTGGCTGACATCCTTGTCTATGTCGGATATGAGGATGAGGAACAAGATGGGAGCGAGTACTGTGCCTTGTGGAACAGAGCTTTTCACCGTAGCTGCCTCGGACTTTACTCTGTTGACGACTACTCTCTGTGTTCTGTTAGTGAGGAAATTATAGATCCATCGACGACTTTTCCTGTTATTCCTTTAGCACGCATTTTGTGCGCTATTACGCCATGGTCACACTTGTCGAAGGCTTTTGCAAAGTCTGTATATATTTACATCTGCATTCTTTTTGTCTTTTAGTGCATTTAGGACCTTGTCGTAGTGATCCAATAGTTGAGACAGACAGGAGCGACCTGTTCTAAACCCATGTTGCCCTGGGTTGTGTAACTGATGGGTTTCTAGATGGGTGTTGATCTTGCTTCTTAGGACCCTTTCAAAGATTTTATGATATGGGATGTTAGTGCTATTGGTCTGTAGTTCTTTGCTGTTGCTTTTACTGCCCCCTTTGTGGAGTGGGGCTATGTCTGTTGTTTTTAGTAACTGTGGGACGACCCCCGTGTCCATGCTCCCTATGGAAAAGGCTCGTGATAGGGGCTTCTTGCAGTTCTTGATGAACACAGAGTTCCATGAGTCTGGCCCTGGGGCAGAGTGCATGGCATGTCATTTATCGCCTGTTCGAAGTCATTTGGCGTCAGGATAACATCGGATAGGCTTGTGTTAATAAAATTTTGTGGCTCTCTCATAAAAAATTCATTTTGATCTTCGACTCTCAGTCTGGTTAGCGGCTTGCTAGAAACTGAGTCATATTGGGACTTGAGTAGCTCACTCATTTCCTTGCTGTCATCTGTGTAGGACCCATCTTGTTTAAGTAGGGGCCCATACTGGACGTTGTTCTCGATTTTGATTTGGCATAGGAGAAGAAATACTTTGGGTTTCTTTCGATTTCATTTATGGCTTTTAGTTCTTCCCGCGATTCCTGACTCCTAAAGGATTCTTTTAGCTTAATTCGATGCTTGCTATTTCTCTGACCAGTGTCTCCCTACGCATTTCAGATATATTGACCTCTTTTAGCCGCTCTGTTATTCTTTTCCGTCGCCTGTAAAGGGAGCGCCTGTCTCTTTCTATTTTACATCTACTCCTCCTTTTTCTTAGAGGAATAAGCCTTGTGCATACATCGAGTGCCACCGAGTTAATCTGTTCTAGGCATAAGTTGGGGTCTGTGTTGCTTAGTATATCTTCCCAGCTTATATCGGTTAGGACTTGGTTTACTTGGTCCCACTTTATGTTTTTGTTATTGAAGTTGAATTTGGTGAATGCTCCCTCGTGACTAATCTCATTATGTCGGTCTGGGGCTCCGCGCATACATGTCTGAACCTCAATTATGTTGTGATCTGAGTATATTGTTTTTGATATGGTGACATTTCTTATCAGATCATCATTGTTAGTGAAGATGAGGTCTAGTGTATTCTCCATTCTAGTAGGCTCTATAATTTGCTGGTTAGGTAAGTTTTCTAAGTTCCTTTTGGTGCAAAATTATAAATTTTTACATCAACGTTAATAAAAAAATATATCTTTAAACGTATAAGAGAAAATTTTAGAAAGGACTTAATTTTAAATGAATTCTCGTTAATTGACCAGTTTTACATATTCGGCACGACATATATATATATATATTATATATATATATATATATATTATATATATATATATTATATTATATATATATATATATATATATATATATATATATATATATATATATAAGAGACTCAACTTAGAGTTGTCTGTGAGTCAGTATTACATTTGCGACCATTGTATTCATTTGGGTAGAGAAACAATAACTTCTGGTCGCTCAAGAGAGGTTGTCTCGGTGCCGGTGAAGGTCATCCTGGCTGATGAGTAGAACAACACTTGGGTGTCTTTGTTGCCTGAACGTTTCGCCCGCCCAGGATGGCGTAGCCACGAGGGGGGGGGGAAGCCGACCAAAAGGGAATACTATTTTTTCAGCTGATGGCTAATTTTCACTGTATTATATTGACCAATGACTACAAAAACACGATAGTGTATGAAATTTTCAATAATACTAAAATCATATATCTTTAAAGTCGATTTCTTTTATATTTTTAACTTCTTATCACTTATAAGTTATCAACCAGAATAAAATCCAGGATTAAGCCCTCCAGAATTAAATCCTGGATTTCATTCTAGAGGGCTTAAGCCAGGATTTCCACGCAGGGCCAGATTTAGACCTTGGGAGGGCCCGGGGCACTTTAAGGGGGCCTCAGCAAGGAAATTAAACGAATTACAAATAAGAAATGAACTAAAATGAACGATAAACAGGAGCTTTATAAAAAAATAAATATATTAAGTTTCGAAGAAGATGTCTGATTATATTTTTCTCAATTATATTTACTTTAAAAATAACTTTGACTATAATTTTTTTTTTTTTTTTTTTTTTTTTTTTTTTTTTTTTTTTTTTTTAGCTGTATAGTCCTTGTGGCTTAGCGCTTCTTTTTGATTATAATAATAATAATGACTATAATTTTCAGTTTGTAATATATTCCATCTTCACTACATAATAATTACCGATGTGCATTTATTTATGTCTTTGGTGTCGCGCTTTTGGTATCTGTCTATGTATATTTTTTTATATATTAATTTGCTAATGGGCTGACCGACGGACCGACCAACTAGGCATTTAAGTTAAAATATTGTAATTTATAAATGAAAGAAACCAGAACCGTCTAACTTCAAGAAAAAAATTTATTCAATCCTCTTTTTGTAAAAATTAACGCTATTGGGAGAGGACCAGTTTATAACGGCCAAGAAAGGCTATTAGGAGAGGGCCAGCTTATAACGGCCAAGAAAGGCTATTAGGAGAGGGCCAGTTTATAATGGCCAAGAAAGACTATTAGGAGAGGGTCAGCTTATAACGGCCAAGAAAGGCTATTAGGAGAGGGCCAGCTTATAACGGCCAAGAAAGGCTATTAGGAGAGGGCCAGCTTATAACGGCCAAGAAAGGCTATTAGGAGAGGGCCAGCTTATAACGGCCAAGAAAGGCTATTAGGAGAGGGGCAGTTTATAACGGTCAAGAAAGGCTATTAGGAGAGGGCCAGTTTATAACGGTCAAGAAAGGCTATTAGGAGAGGGTCAGTTTATAACGGTCAAGAAAGGCATCGTCACCTTTTTTTTATTTTTAAGTTAATTTACCTTGCATCATAAAGAACACTTCAAATATTGTGTTATGGTGGTGCACCTCCAGGACGCTTTAGTAACATCATACAACACCAGCATAATTATTATATCTAGTCTGTGTTTATTCATATCTTTGGTGTAGAAGTTCTAGGAAAAAAGATAGAAAAATAGTGGTATTCCATTTACAGGGATAAAAATATGTCAGAGGAGATAAGACAACATCAAAAGAGAAATTTATACCGACGAAAAAAATTTTTAATAATAATTTCATAGGGAATGTATAATATATAAGAATAAAAAGTATATATTGCCTGGCTAAGATAACACAAGTCTAAAAATTGAATTTCTCTATAAAGTTTAATTTCACATAGTTTAGTTTAATTTATCAAATTATAAAAAAAAATATTGAATTTTAATTTGATCATTCAATTTCAAAGGGAGAGGGGGTTGGGGGGGCGCCCTTTTTTTCTATTTTCTGTCCCCCCCCCATAATTATTTGTTAATTCCTTGTATTAATTAAACTATTTTTTTTATTATTACAGTTTGTTATAAAGGAAGTTTTTCGTCTGGGGGCCCCTCTGGCAGGGGGACCCGGAGCAGGTGCCCCTTTTGCCCCCTTATAAAAATGGCCCTGTTCCCACGTGTTGGAAATGCGTCTTATTCACCAGGTCATCGGCACTGCATACCATTAATAATACAATACGTCATTCCAGGTTATTATACGACTTTTCGGGACATACATCGTCGTCCAAGAACGTGGAGATCATAAGTGAGGGTCAGGGAGTGTTGAGACGCACACATGGCAGGTTCGTCATCATGGCAGACGTCCAACACGAAGAATCCCAACCAACCCAGAGTACATCACATCCCAGCCAAAACATCGACAGCTTAGAGGATTCGACTCTTGATATAGACAGTACTACCGTTGCTCCTGTTGGGCAGGAGGTCGACATCCTGGAAAGCACAACAGATCAGTCACCAGCACCGGAGACTGGTGAAACCGATGATGAGGATTTAGATGCGGAATATTCTGGGGACTCGAGCACACAAGATAACCCAAAGGCGACATAACAGCAGTGAGAGAGAAGCATCAAGTGAAAGCCTCACACTATCTCATTGTTACTGTATAATAATAATTAAAATTACAATAATATATACAAGATCTGATATAGTAAAAAAATAATTCCAGATTTTCGTGAATATGATTGACGGTCGTTAATTACGACTTTCTAGAGTGTGTGTGTGTATATATATATATATATATATTATATATATATATATATATATATATATATATATATATATATATATATATATATATATATATATATATATATATATATATATATATATAATTCAAAAGACGAAGGAGTAGGAGAGCAGGAGTCGTAGGAGGTCATCCCGGAAAGGGCTGTAGGGAGTGAATGAGGTTGTCAGTGACAAAGACTGAAGCATCTACAAGACGTGCGTGTGTGCGTGTTAGAGCGGAGTACGTCAAGACACGTGATATTTTTCAGCTTTTAACGTGCTGTTTGAGCGTGAGCAAGGTAACATTTATGACGGGATTCTTAGCAAGCGGGTTATTACAGTGGTCAGTACAGCGCACGCACTCTGAAAGAGGTGACGGAATGTTGTTGCTATGCTGGGCAAGTCATCTGAATTGTTGACGTCTATACACACTTTCAGCCAAGACAGCTACTGAATAGTGAATATTTTTGTTTTTTCTTTGGTGATCTTAGCTTGGCGTGAGAGCAGTGTTTATATGGGGACACAATAAACACAACCCATGACCTCTGCAGGAGAGCTATACAGGGTGTTTCAATCATAGGAGGCCTCGATTTGGTACTCTCGTAGGTTGTAACTACAGAAGTACCACCTCGGGGCCTCCTACGAGTGAAACACCCTGTATGTTGACATATTTGTAACACTCTCCTCCGTAAATGCTGTTGTAGTGTTAAAGAATATAAGTACTCTCAGAGGCACAAGAAATTCTCACCAGGGGATGATAACAAACCTGTCACGTGTGTGTGCGTGTTCCGCCTGAAGGTGTGTTCCACTGTGTGTATATTGTGCTAGATGTATGTGTCGTATAGGCGGTGCATTGTTTGTGTGTGCCTACAGTGCGAAATAGAAAAAAAATTCTGCTTGTCGTGAACAGGCATGTCTCTCCACTCCTTCGTCCTTCTCTGTCTTTCTTTCTCTCTTTAACTTCCCTTTCCTCCTCTTTATCCTCTCCTCGTTTCTTTTTTCCCCATTCACTGACTCCTCTCCCCTTTCTTATCCCTTTATATCTCTAATTTCCCTGTTGTTAAGCTTCTATGCTCACTCCTCCCCATTCACTTTCCCGCTCACTCCCCTCGTTTACTCCCCCCTCGTTCATCCCCTCCCCCCTCGTTCATCCCCTCCCCCCTTCAACACTCCCCCCCCTTTCCTCACCTCCACCTGAACTTCAGATCTGATGAATAGATCATTAATTATAGCGTTTTATACAGAATAATAAATATAAGATAAAAAATTTCTCCCTCTCAGATTTCGTCTCCCAGTTTTGCCATCTTCTTCACAGTTCGTAGCTAAAAATAACCTTATTGATCACAAATTTTCTTCTAATAACCATTATAAATATTGATACTTTGTTATGCAATATAAATAAAGTAGTAAACTATATTGTCTTGTTTTCCCTCGATAATTCCTACCAGTGTTTATACAAAAATATAAAAAGGAATGTCAGAGAGCGAGAGAGAGAGAGAGAGAGAGAGAGAGAGAGAGACAGAGACAGAGAGAGACAGAGAGAGACAGAGAGAGACAGAGACAGAGAGAGAGAGAAGGATGGAGAGTGAGGGAGTAAGAAACAGGGAGAGTAAGTAACAGAGAGAGTAAGTAACAGAGAGAGTAAGTAACAGAGAGAGCAAGTAACAGAGAGAGCAAGTAACAGAGAGAGTAAGTAACAGAGAGAGTAAGTAACAGAGAAAGTAACAGAGAGAGTAACAGAGAGAGTAAGTAACAGAGAAAGTAACAGAGAGAGTAAGTAACAGAGAGTAAGTAACAGAGAGAGTAAGTAAGAGAGAGTAAGTAACAGAGAGTAAGTAACAGAGAGAGTAAGTAACAGAGAGAGTAAGTAACAGAGAGTAAGTAACAGAGAGAGTAACAGAGAGAGTAAGTAACAGAGAAAGTAACAGAGAGAGTAACAGAGAGAGTAAGTAACAGATAAAGTAACAGAGAAAGTAAGTAACAGAGAGTAAGTAACAGAGAGAGTAAGTAACAGAGAGAGTAAGTAACAGAGAGTAAGTAACAGAGAGAGTAAGTAACAGAGAGAGTAAGTAACAGAGAGAGTAAATAACAGAGAGAGTAAGTAACAGAGAGAGCAAGTAACAGAGAGAGTAACAGAGAGAGTAAGTAACAGAGAGTAAGTAACAGAGAGAGTAACAGAGAGAGTAAGTAACAGAGAGAGTAAGTAACAGAGAAAGTAACAGAGAGTAAGTAACAGAGAAAGTAACAGAGTAAGTAACAGAGAGTAACAGAGAGAGTAAGTAAAAGAGAGTAAGTAACAGAGAGTAAGTAACAGAGAGAGTAAGTAACAGAGAGTAAGCAACAGAGAGAGTAAGTAACAGAGAGAGTAAGTAACAGAGAGAGAAAGTAATAGAGAGAGTAAGTAACAGAGAGAGTAAGTAACAGAGAGAGTAAGTAACAGAGAGAGTAAATAACAGAGAGAGTAAGTAACAGAGAGAGTAAGCAACAGAGAAAGTAACAGAGACAGTAAGTAACAGAGAGAAGGTAACAGAGAGTAAGTAACAGAGAGAGTAAGTAACAGAGAGAGTAAATAACAGAGAGAGTAAGTAACAGAGAGAGTAAGTAACAGAGTAAGCAACAGAGAGAGTAAGTAACAGAGAGAGTAAGTAACAGAGAGAGTAAGAGAGAGTAAATAACAGAGAGAGAAAGTAACAGAGAGTAAGTAACAGAGAGAGTAAGTAACAGAGAGAGTAAGTAACAGAGAGAGTAACAGAGAAAGTAACAGAGAGAGAAAGTAACAGAGAGAGTAAGTAACAGAGAGAGCAAGTAACAGAGAAAGTAACAGGGAGAGAAAGTAATAGAGAGAGTAAGTAACAGAGAGAGTAAGTAACAGAGAGAGTAAGTAACAGAGAGAGTAAGTAACAGAGAGAGTAAGAGAGAGAGTAAGTAACAGAAAGAGTAAGTAACAGAGAGAGAAAGTAACAGAGAAAGTAACAGAGAGAATAAGTAACAGGAGAGAGTAAATAACAGAGAGAGTAAGTAACAGAGAGAGTAAGTAACAGAGAGAGTAAGCAACAGAGAGAGTAAGTAACAGAGGTAAGTAACAGGGAGAGTAAGTAACAGAGAGAGTAAGAGAGAGTAAATAACAGAGAGAGTAAGTAATAGAGAGAGTAAGTAACAGAGAGAGTAAGTAACAGAGAGAGTAAGTAACAGAGAGAGTAAGTAACAGAGAGAGTAAGTAACAGAGAGAGTAATAGAGAGAGAAAGTAACAAAGAGAGAAAGTAACAGAGAGAGTAAGTAACAGAGAGAGTAAGTAACAGAGAGAGTAACAGAGAAAGTAACAGAGAGAGAAAGTAACAGAGAGAATAAGTAACAGAGAGAGAAAGTAACAGGGAGAGAAAGTAATAGAGAGTAAGTAACAGAGAGAGAAAGTAATAGAGAGAGTAAGTAACAGAGAGAGTAAGTAACAGAGAGAGTAAGTAACAGAGAGAGTAAATAACAGAGAGAAAGTAACAGAGTAAGTAACAGAGAGAGTAAGTAACAGAGAGAGTAAGTAACAGAGAGAGAAAGTAATAGAGAGAGTAAGTAACAGAGAGAGTAAGTAACAGAGAGAGTAAGTAACAGAGAGAGTAAATAACAGAGAGAGTAAGTAACAGAGAGAGTAAGTAACAGAGAGAGTAAGCAACAGAGAGAGTAAGTAACAGAGAGAGTAAGTAACAGAGAGAGTAAGTAACAGAGAGAGTAAGAGAGAGTAAATAACAGAGAGAGTAAGTAACAGAGAGAGTAAGTAACAGAGAGAGTAAGTAACAGAGAGAGTAAGTAACAGAGAGAGTAAGTAACAGAGAGAGTAATAGAGAGAGAAAGTAACAAAGAGAGAAAGTAACAGAGAGAGTAAGTAACAGAGAGAGTAAGTAACAGAGAGAGTAAGTAACAGAGAGAGTAAATAACAGAGAGAGTAAGTAAGAGAGAGAGTAAGTAACAGAGAGAGTAAGCAACAGAGAGAGTAAGTAACAGAGAGAGTAAGTAACAGAGAGAGTAAGTAACAGAGAGAGTAAGAGAGAGCAAATAACAGAGAGAGTAAGTAACAGAGAGAGTAAGTAACAGAGAGTAAGTAACAGAGAGAGTAATAGAGAGAGAAAGTAACAAAGAGAGAAAGTAACAGAGAGAGTAAGTAACAGAGAGAGTAACAGAGAAAGTAACAGAGAGATAAAGTAAGAGAGAGAGTAAGTAACAGAGAGAGTAAGTAACAGAGAAAGTAACAGGGAGAGAAAGTAATAGAGAGAGTAAGTAACAGAGAGAGTAAGTAACAGAGAGAGTAAGTAACAGAGAGAGTAAGTAACAGAGAGAGTAAGAGAGAGAGTAAGTAACAGGGAGTAAGTAACAGAGAGAGAAAGTAACAGGAGAGAAAGTAATAGAGAGAGCAAGTAACAGAGAGAATAAGTAACAGAGAGAGTAAGTAACAGAGAGAGTAAGTAACAGAGAGAGTAAGTAACAGAGAGAGTAAGTAACAGAGAAGTAACGGAGAGAGAAAGTAACAGAAAGAGAAAGTAACAGAGAGAGTAAGTAACAGAGAGAGTAAGTAACAGAGAGAGTAAGTAACAGAGAGAGTAAGTAACAGAGAGAGTAATTAACAAAGAGAGTAAGTAACAGAGAGAATAACAGAGAAAGTAACAGAGAGAGTAAGTAACAGAGAGAGTAACAGAGAGAGTAAGTAACAGAGAGAGTAAGTAACAGAGAGAGTAAGTAACAGAGAGAGTAAGTAACAGAGAGAGAAAGTAACAGAGAGAGTAAGTAACAGAGAGAGAAAGTAACAGAGAGAGAAAGTAACAGAGAGAGTAAGTAACAGAGAGAATAACAGAGAGTAAGTAACAGAGAGAGTAAGTAACAGAGAGAGTAACAGAGAGAGTAAGTAACAGAGAGAGTAAGTAACAG